ACTGTAGCCCACCAGGCTCCTCTGTCCATGGGCTTCTCCAGGAAAGAATACTGCAGTGGGTTGCTATTCCCTTCTGCAGGGGATCTTTCCCCAGGGATCAAACCCTGGTCTCCTGAATTGCAGGCAGATTCTTCACTGTCTAAGAAACTAGGGAAGCCCATCTTAGGAGGAGGTATGCCTCAAGAGTCAGTGGAGGCTGCCCCCTGGGGAGGCAGTGGGCAGGTCATAAGTATGAGCGACCCTGAGGCTCTGTGGGGGCTTCAGTTGCTCCAAGAATGGATGTGGGGCTCCTGGGAGCACAGGGTGGAGGAGGTCAGCCAAGAGCTGAGGTTTAAAAAAGAATGTGGTGTCAGTAGTGGAGGGAAGGATGTTCCTAAGAGTGGGGCCAGACTGCAGGCAGCTGCATCGTGATACCAGTGTGTGCTGATGTGGCCAAGGTGATGAGAGATACTCAAGGCTCCACCGTCCCCTAGACAGTAACCAGAGAGTGCCCCCAGCTCCTCTCTCCACTCCACATCTGGCTGTCATCTGCCCTCAGGTCTCCTCCCCATCTTTGCAGCCACCATCTCATCATGGCCCTGCCTCTTCATACCTCATTCTACAAGGGCAGCATCACCCTAATACCACAATAAGACAAAGATGTCACAAGAAAGGAAAACTATAGATCAATCTCTCTCATGAAGATAGATGCAAAAATCATAAACAATATTAGCAAATCAAACCCAACAATGTCTTTTAAAAAATTATATACCACAACCAAGTGGAATTTATTCCAGGTTGGACATCTGAAAATCAACTAATGTAATCTATCATATAAAGTCTAAAGATGAAAAATCATCTGGTTATATTACTAGATGGAATAAAAGAGCATTTGACAAAATCCAACAACCATTCAAATTTTTTTCTAAAAATGCTCAGCAAACTAGGAATGGAAAAGAACCTCCTCAACTTGATAAACAACATCTGCAAAAAAAAAAAAAAAATCTACAGCTAATGTCATACTTCACTATGAAAACCTAAATACCCTCCACCCTGAGACTGGAAAAAAGGCAAAAATGTGCCACCTCATCAATTATAGTCAGTATCATATGGGAAGTCCTAGCTAATGTAATAAGACAAGAAAAGGAAATATAAGTATATCGATTGAAAAGAAATAAAATTCTTTTGCAAATAAAATTTAGAAAAATAATTTTAAAGATGTATATAACTAATAATAACAGCAAGGTTTCAGGATACAAGGTTAATATATAAGATCAATTGCTTTTATATATGCCTATATAACAGCAATAAACAATTAAAATGTGAAACTAAAAACAATACCATTTACATAAACATAAAAAACTGAAATACTTTAAGTATAAATCTAACATGATGTGTACAAGACGTTTATGAGAGGAAAGTAGAAAGCTCTGATGAATAAAATCAAAGAGAATCTAAATAAATGGAGAGATAGTCTATGTTCATGGATAGAAAGACTTAAGTTGTTAAGATGCCAGTTCTTCTCAGTCTTATTTATAAATTCTGTGTAGTTCTAATCAGAAATCTAGCAAGTTAATTTGTAGATATCAACAAACTGATTCTAAAGTTTAGCGTCACAAGAGTAAAGGCAGCAAAGTTGGAGGACTGACACTAGCCAACTTCAAGGCTTCAGAAATCACGATGGTGTGGTATTACTGGTAAAGAAGACAAGCAGATTGATGGAACAGAATAGAGAGCCTAGAAATAGATCCACATAAATGTAGTCAACTGCTCTTTGATATAGGGGCAAAGGAAATACAGTGAAGCAAAGACAATATCTTCAACAAATGGGCCTGGAACAACAGGGCATCCACATGCAAAAAGTTAAAAAAAAAAAAAAAAGGAAAGAATCTAGACAGTGGCCTTACACATTTCAACCAAACAATTAATTCAGAATAGATCTCAGAATTAAATTTAAAATGCAAAACTATGAAACTTCCAGATGGTAACAAAAGAAAATCAAGATGACCTTGAATTTGGTGGTAACTTTCTAAGATATATCAAAACCACAAGCCATGAAATAAAAAGTTGATATGTCAAACATTATTAAAAATAAAAATTTCTTCCCTGCAAAATACACAAGCAAGAGAGTGGAAAAGACAAGCTACAGACTAGCAAATGTTTTCAAAAGATATCTGACAAAAAATAAAAGAAAAGAAAAAAAGATAATAAAAAAAGGAAAAAATAGTAAAAAAAAGAAAAGATATCTGACAAAGGGCTTGTATCCAAAATATACAAACTTCAACAATAAGAAAACAACTCAGTTTTTAAATGTGCAAGAGATTTGAACAGACACCCCACCAAAGATGTTATGTAGAAGGCAAATAAACATGCCAAAAATGCTTATTAAGGACTACCGATTAGAACAACCAGGAGGTACCACTAATCACCTCGCAGAACGTCTAAAATCCAAAACATTGCCAATGTGGTGTGACCACCACCTCACATGCGGGCAGGATGGGGCTGGGGAGGGAGGCGGTTCCCAGAGAGGCCGGCCCAGGGCCCCCACCCCTGATCCCCAGACCTCATTCCCCGGGAGGGGTATCTCTAAAGCGTTTCCCACTTCCAGACTCTGCGAGAGCAAAGGCATGGTTCTCAGCATCCCTTTCGGCTTTCAAATACCACCTAATTCCCAAACCTGAGAAGATGCCTAGGACAGTGCCTCCAGGACATGCGGTCCCCCCCAGGGACTCCTGGGCCTTCAGGACAAAATGAGCCAAGCGCTGGGCCTGGCCCCTCCGCTCCTCCACCCAGGAACGTCCTCAGGGGCTGGGAGCATCTGGAGGCTGGGTCAGATCGGGCCCTCCCCAGGCGGGAAGACAGGGGCAGCAGTTGCGTCCTGACCTGCACCAGAAGGGCCGGAGCCCACAGCCCTGAGCAGAGAAATCCTCCATGACTGGCCGAGAATGAAGGCAAAAGGACAGGGATGGGGCAGAGGGCGGGGCCGTGGGCTGGAGACGGGGAGGGCAGGAGAAGAACGGACCTTGCGGGTAAGGGTGCCACGCTAACTTGGGGGTGTTCCGGACCTACCTCATCAGCTTAACAAACACCGGAACCAATTACATTGGGACACTTTAACTCATTATTTGGAAAATAACTTCACAAAGCACAAAAAATACAGAAGCATCATTACCCATAGATGACAGACAAATGTGTCCTTCTGCTCTGGCCTCCGGGGAAGGGCCCTCCAGGAACCCTGACTTCTCCTCTGCAGTGGGAGAGGCTCTTCTGCTGGGCAGATGCCACCCACTCCTGCAGGGACCCTCCTGTTGTGGGCCTGGGTCACGGCAAGGAGAAACCATCGGAGCCCGCCACCTGCGCCTTCTTCTCGGGAGAGACCAGGTGAGGGGCAGGGGTGCCTATCGGCGCCCTGAGGCCGGGATGGGTGGCCAGGGGCAGTTTTCAGTTGGTGGAGGGTCTTCAGTGCGCTCCAGAGGTCATGCTCCAGCCAAGACTGAGGGGTCAGAAGACCCACCAGAAAGCCTAGGCCTGGTGCACTCCAGCTGCGGGGGCTCCAGCACCCCAGAGGCCCCTGAGCACGCCAGCGGCACCAGGCAGGCCTGGAGCGCCCTGCACGGGGGCCCTGGGCCCACGCCCGTCCCCGAGGGACCGCTGTGCAGCCCGTGGCCCTGGGCAGCTCAGGGCTGGGGCTCCCTCTCTCCACCCAGCTGACAGGAATCCAGCCCTCTCGGGGGGCCCTGCGGCTGGACGATCAGGGTGGACACTGGTGGAGGGCACCAGTCCGTCATGTGTGTGTGTGTAGTCACTTCAGACGTGTCCGACTCTCTGCAACCCCGTGGGCTGCAGCCCACCAGGGTCCTCTTCCCATAGGACTTCCCAGGCAAGAACACTGGAGTGGGTTGCCATTTTCTTCTCCAGGGGATCTTCCCAACCCAGGGATCTAACCCGTGTCTCTTATGTCTCCCGCATTGGCAGCCAGGTTCTTTACCACTAGAGCCACCGGGGGAGCCCAGTCCATCTGGCTGCCTGAATGAAAAGAAACAACAGCCTCCCTGTCAGGCCCCATTTTCAGCACTGGAGACACACCAACTCCTTCAGTACTCAAAGGGCTCCGTGGGATCACATTCTCACAATCCCCACATAGCGATGAAGACACAGAGGTTCAGAGTGGCCATGTGACCTGCATAAGTCACACTGACAGACAGCTGCATCCAGACTCCCAGCTTCAGAGCCAGCTTTAATTCCACGCATGCTCCCAGGATAAGTCCTGATGAGCTGCAGGGCCAGACCAGTCCCCTCACTGAGCCTCTGGGTGCCTGAGGATCTTCTGTGGCTTATCCCCTCAGAGACCTCAGCAAGTCCCCTGCATCCGAGGCCTGCAGGTTCCACCACCAGGCCCCCAGGAGGGTGTGAGACCTGGTGGTGTTGCTCTGAGGCTCCCCGAAGTGAGGCACACCCGCACACAGACCCAAACAGACCCCACAGGCTGCCAGGCTTCCCCAGGGAAGCTCCTGAGGCCGGAGTGGGCGCTGCTTCCACGGCCTGCCCAAGGGCTCTGCACACGGTGAGATGGGTGCCATTTCCAGGGCAGAGAGGCCCCAGGGCCTCAAGTCCCCCGCACCCCGCCCCGCACAGCCTCCTTGACATCCTCATTCCTCAATGTGTAGATGAAGGGCTTCAGCACCGGGGTGATGATGGCGTTGAGCGCAGTGACGGCCTTGGTCAGGTCCAGCGAGCTCTCCACCGAGGCCCCCACGTGTAGGAAGATGATGGAGCCATACCAGATGAGGACCACCGTGAGGTGTGATGAGCAGGTGGAGAAGGCCGGGGGCCGGGCCTACGCCGAGGGCGTCCTGACGATGGCGACCACGATGTGGGCGTAAGAGACCAGCGTGCTGACGCAGGAGCCCAGGATGACACAGAAGGCGATGCCGAAAGACGCTAGCACTGCCCACATGTTGCTGCAGGACAGCACGATCCAGGGCGCAATGTCACAGAAGAAATGGTTGATGACCCGCGAACTACAGAAGGAGAGGCGGCCGATGAGGGCCGCGGGCACGGCGATGGCCGAGAAGCCGCAGCCAGGAGCCCAGGGCCAGGTGGCCAGAGAGCCCAGGCATCATGATGCTACCGTAGCGCCGCAGCAGGCAGATGGCCAGGTAGCGGTCGTAGGCCATGGCCACCAGCAGGAAGTACTCGATGCAGCCCAGAGAGAAGACGAAGTGCATCTGCACAGCGCAGCCTGAGAAGGAGATGGCTCCGCTGCGCAAGGCGAAGACGGCCAGAATCTTGGGCACACAGGCCGTGGTGAAGCAGATCTCCAGGAAAGAGAGGTTGTAGAGGAAAAAGTACATGGGCGTCTGCAGGCGCCGGTGTGCTCCGACCAGCAAGAAGATGGCCAGGTTCCCGCCACCGTGAACATGTAGGTGACTGGGAAGAGCCCCACGTGCAGCCCCCCCACCCCGGGAAGCCCAGCCGGATGAACGGGCCCCCAGTGGACAGGTTCTGGCTGCAGCCCCAGGCCATGACACCCATCAGGACACAGGTCCCTTGAAGCCAGCAAGAGGGACCGCCAGCCAGAAGCCCTCCGGGGGGCTCAGGAGAAGAGGCCCCCTCCCCACTCTCTGGATCTACTCACCTTGCCCTCTAACCCCAGGGCCCCAGGCCGGCCTGCGACGGTGGGCGGGAAGCACCCACTGCAGTGGAGCGGCCCAGAGAGCTGTGTGGACTCGGACCTGGCCATTTGTCACCTGGAGTTCTTGTTCTAGACTCCTTGTCACCTGCTGGTGGGGGAGGATCCTTGGTCTAGATTCCTTCCTTGGGGCTGTCCTTATTCTAGACTCCTCGTGAGGGTGGGGGGCATTTCCTTATTCTAGACTCAGGAAGCTGCAAAAGGACAGTGTCAACTTTTCACAAATGAAATTATGTATGGCCCAATTTAGGGCATTTTTATCCAACAAAGCGGATTGATTCCTAGTAAAGCATCCCTATCATGGTGTGCCATGAAACCGCCCCCGTCCCCGAGGATGACCACCTCGGAGGCAGCCCAGGGGAGCCATTCTACTCTCCAGGGCGGGGAAGCCAGGATGCAGACAGCTGTCACCAGCACCCCTCTGGCCGCAGCTGAAGGTTGCCAGGTGGGGCAGGAGGCCCAGCGAAAAGCTCTCAGTCCCTCAGTGCCGCCCACTGCTTCTTGGAACCCTCAGTGGGCCTTGACCCCACCAACAAGAGCCCAGAGTCCAGAACCGGCGGCCGCAGCACAGCAGACAGGGCCAATCAGGTCGAGGTCTACGCGTCCACGTACTGGACTGCTGAGCACGGGGGCTCCCGAGGTGGTGCCCACCATCCCTGCCCTCTGCCCCCGCCCGCCCCCTGCACATCACACATTCGCCCCGCACACACGTGGGCACCGCTTACTCTCCCTGCCTGGACCAGCCTTCTGCCTCTGGAGCACTGGCTCCATTCCTGATGGATTTGGGGTCCCTTGGTGTTTCACAGTGACCGCCCTGCTCAGACCGGAGTCTGAGCATAGATCAGGAACTGGTCTAGGAGTCCTGCCCAAGTCCCACTTTAAAATAACCACTAGGAGTTGAGCAGGGGAAGAGTGTCCACACCAGCCACCTTATAATAGCAGGTTCCGGCTCCCTGCTCTCTACTACTGCTGGTGACCTGGGCAGGAAGACGCTCACGGCCTCTATTCTGGGGTCTGAGAGCAAGAAACCCTGTGCCACGGCCCTGACACGCTTGGCTGTGACCTCCTCCCAGCCCCACAGTGAAGCCAGGGCAGCTGACCTTAATCAGAGCCCAGCAAGATGGCCCACATTCCAGACACGTCCACAGACACGCCCTAGAGGCCTGCGGTGATTTCCAGACAAAGGCAAACGTCAGAGGATCTGCATCTGTGTGGACGAGGCCTGCACACCCACCAGGTCCCAGGAGGGGACCCCTTGGGCCATGTCCTGGCAAGACAGCATCCCCATCCCGGACGCCGACTCCTTAGGGCCAGAGTGCTCCTTGCGGCTGTCCGCTGGACCCCTGGGTGGGCAGGGACCCCCTGTGAGCTGCACCAGGGCCTGGACCCCCTGCACTGTTTGTGAGCCCGGGCCCCACAACACGCAGGGAGCACAGAACCGCACAGAGTTGGCAAGCCTGCCCTGTCTGGAGCTCTAAGAATCCTCCAGCCTGAATTTCCGAATGTCCCAGGATTTGTGGGTGGCTACTGCTGTGCCCTGGAGGTGAAGACAGTGGGGCTGCTCTCCCGTGTGTGTGTGTGTGTGTGTGTGTGTGTGTGCACGTGCGCATGCCTGGGAGTGTGCGTGCACACAGTGAGGACGCCCAGAGCCTTCAGAGTCCTCCTCGTCTCAAGGATCCCCTGAAGCTGAGAAGATGGATCTAAATGAGAGTCCCATTCTGAGTCCACCACAGGGGAGGGGGACTAAATGGGGGCCCCACTGTGAGCCCACCATGGGGAAGGGGGACATCTCCCTGCAGGTCAGCTTGTGGGGACACAGCATGATGAGGGGTCACTCACCTGGGGTCTGAGCAGGCTCCAGGACACATCCCCCTAAGGCCACCTGGAGACCAGAAGGCTGAGCACAGGACCCCCCCCGAGGACCTTGCAGCGGGGCTGCCCCTGGGGGCTGTGCCTGTGGCGCGGATGAGGGCCGCGTGTTGGCTGAGCCGCCTGCCTCTGCTGACCGCCTCCTCTGCAGATGTGGCCAGAGGAGTGGGGTCACAGGCTGGTCTGGGCACCCAGGGAGCAGCCAAACCATTTATGCTGCCCCAGCAGGTTCATGGCAGTGGCCAGAAGGCGATCTCAGGTGCCAGGGAAGGTGCCCTAACCTGCCACCCACACTGGACCCTCACACCACTGACTCTGGTCACTCAGGTTGGTCAGCACTGGCCCAGCCTCGGGGGAAGGAAGCAGAGGCGCCCCTGCCGTCCTGCTCCTCGGGCTGCCGGACTCGACTCATCGTGGCTGCAGGCACCTGCCGCCCCAGCTCTTCCAGGGCAGCGTCTCCCCTGTGCCCTGCTGGGCATCAGCAGGGCCGCTAGCGCTCCGGCTCACAGCCCGGGCAGCGGAGGCACCTGATTCGAGGCGGTAGGAAGGGTGTCCTCCTGGCGCCCTGGCTGCCACCACCAGCAGGAAGAGCCAAGCCAAGAGGCAGCCCTCTTGCTCTCAGATGCTTCTGCCCTCCCTCTGGCCTCCCTGGGGCTCAGGCCTGCAAGGACCCTCTAGCCAATTACGCAGGAGCAAGGTCCCCCGGGCGCTGGGGAGGGGCCTGGGGGTGGTCCGCAGCGGCACCCAGCGTCCTGAGGGGCCTCCTTCCCTTGGGCTCTCCTGGGAGCCGCTTCTTGCCCAGAGCCCCGCTGTGTGTGCTGCAGGGCCCAGCACCTTGAAGGGCACAGTGGACCCTGGGTGCTCTTGGCAGATACTCCGTATCTCAGTTTCCTCTCTGGAAATGGGTGATGATTCCCCAGAGTTTGATAGGCAACCCACAGATAGCCCCACCTCCACCACTGCCCAAGCCTTCCAGGAATAGCCGCTCCAGCAAGACCCCAGCTGGCGAATATTTGAAGCTCCCCGAGGCGGAGACCCCAGCCCAGCGAGGACAGGAGGAAACGGTGGCTGGAAGGAGGAGCCGCCGTGGACCAGGGGGGAGAGCCCACCCTGGGGCTCTGCGAGCACGAGTGTGGGGCGCACATGGGATGTGTGGGGTTGGCCACAGACAGGCTGTGTGCTGTTAGTCACCAGGGGCCTGAGTCCTGGAGGCAGGGACACCGCTTCCAGGAGCAGGGGTCTGGGAGGTGGCAGGAATGTGCACCCACCCCCAGCCTGCCGCCGCCCGCCCTGCCCGTTGGCACTTGGCAGGTGGGCACCAGCCAGAGGGGCTCTGATGGGACCACTGACCTTGGCCACCCATGCTCAGCCTCAAGTGTCATCCGCCCTGGGGACTGCAGCACCACCACCACAGGCGTGCACCTGTCCCTAAGCTCATTCTGGAAGCTCACTAAAAGTTGGTGGCAGGCTCCCCGGGGTGGGAGCCTGGCCTCGTCAACTGGCTCCATGGAGGGCTGCCACTTGTCTGGGGGAACAAGAGGGCCACTTTCTGTTTGCTTCAAAAAACGAATTTTTGAACCACGCTCGAGGAGCTTGAAAGGTGCAGAAGAAAGGCTTTTCAAAGCACAGATGGGTGTGAAGATGTGGTGTGTCACACGTGCCCACTCTTGTGTCTTTGTTCTCCCCCGTCCACTTTCAGGGCTCATGTTAGAGGAAACTGCTGAGTTCTCGTTTTTTCTTTTTTTTTTTTAAATTGAGGTATATGGTTGACAAACAAACAGCTGTACATGTGTAATGGACACATCTTGATGAGTCCGGAGATAACCAGCCATCTGTGAAACATTCTCCATTGCCTCTAAAAGTCCCTGCGCCGTTTTGTTTTATGGGATGAAACATTCGACATACGATGCACCTCCTGCTTCATACCTTACACCACACATGGCCCAGTTTCTCAAGCTCACTGCCCTCTCTTCCCCCAACTACTCCAGGTCTGCAGATTGGACTTCCCATTCTTATTATTATAACTAAAGCCCTTGGAGAGACACGTCAACCGGAAGTATTTGCCTATATTTCTGAATAATTTCCTTATAATAAAGAAGTCCACTTCAAATCCATAATCTCCACTGACAAGACCACTCAAGAGGTGACAAGGCCCAGCAGGATTATCTCCAGAAAGGCCGACCCTGATGCCGGGCTGGGTGCCCCAGGTCCTCTGCAGGTCTGGTCCCCGCTGTCGTCTGATGACCAGTGCCTTCTTCTCCATGATGGGGCCCTGGTCTCTCTCAGCTGCCCCTGCACTGGGGGTGAATGTGAGGAGGTGTGGAAGAAGATGAAGGCCCATGAACATATCTCATTCTAGTGGCCTGTAATAATGCAGAAAAATGCTCCTGCAGAAACGTGTTTAAAAGAAGAGTGAAAACACTGACTTAGTGTTAGAATAGGGCTCGTCCTGACCGCATTCCAGCTGTGTCGCTGATGTGATGGAAATCAGACACCACACGAGGCACCAGAAGACACTCGGGTCTTTCACAGTGTCAGAACAGGGTCTGGGGTCTGGACCTCACCCAGTGGGGGCTGAGGGGGTGGTAATGGTTAATAAAGAGCCGAGAGAGGAGGAGTTTGTGCAGACACTCTTCTTTTGTGGGAGGAGGGATCTGCCAGTATGGTTGGAACCCTGGAGTGGGGGGCAGGGAGGGTCCTGGAGCAGGGAGCTGAGGGGAGGGGTGGTCTTCTCGAGTTCAGTTGGGAAGGGAGGTGGCAGCTCCTCTGGGCTGATGTAGCCCTTGGGGGCACCAGAACTCCCAAGATGACACCCCAGGACATCCTGGGGATGTATCAGGGTCCATAGAGGAGCCTGGGAAGACCAGGAAGGGGCCCAAGGGCCTTGTCCCACTGCCTTGTCCCACTGCCAGAACCAAAAGCAGCACACAGCTGGCTCCCAAGAACGCGCCCCCCAACATGTCCCTACCCCTCACTGCATCCTGAGTTGAGGAAGAAAAAATCGGATCATGCATAAGTTTCCTATGGCTGCTGCAAAAAACTACCAGTAAGTAGTGGTCTAGAGGTAGAGCAGTAGCAAAAAACCTGCCTGCCACAGCAGGAGATGTAAGAGACGTGTCAGACATAACTGAAGTGACTTAGCACATATATACACACAAGTGGCCTAGAACAACACAAATTTGTTATGCTCTATACCTTAGAAGTTCCAGGCAGGTCTCTCTGGGCTAAATTCCAGGGACCAGAATGTCTGTTTCCCTCTGGAGGCTCTGGGGGAGACCACTTTCCTCACCTCTTCCCTGAAGGCCGCTGCATTCCTGGGCTTGTGGCCCCTCCTCCCTTTCCAAAGCCAGTCCCTCAGCATCCCTCTGACACTGTTCTATAGTCATGTGTCCTCCAGCCCCCTCCTCCACCTTTAAGGACCCTGTGATGACACTGGGCTCCCTCAGGCTGTCCAGGGACTCCCAGCTCTAACTGCCCTGTCCAGGTGCTGCAGCACTCTCAGTTTCCAGGAGGACGATGTGGACGCTGTTGGGGAGGGGGTGCACTTCTGTGCTGATCACAGACAGGACATGGGCAGAACACCCCGCGTGGCTGTCCTGTCCAGACAGTCTGCCTCCCAGGACAGTCTACTCTGCAGCTCAAAGTGATAGGAGGCCTCTCCTTATCTGATAGGCATCAGCAAAGTCAACGATTTGGAAATGTTTCCATCTGAATGCATTTTAAGGAACAGTTGGAAACAAAGGAGAGCCATGTTTTACTTGTGAGAGGCAACTGTAATGAAACTCTTTATTTTTAAGCAGTCATCCAAAAAATAATTCTGCTTATA